TTGAATTTTGAGTTTCTGTAAGCTGTTATCTTCAACGATGGGTAAGTTTTAGATTAGTTTATACTTCGGTTTATATTAAATTGATTAATATGGTTTCAATTTAAGATAATTACACCACAGTGCAGTGCAGATGATTGTTCGCCACATAATTGTGCACAGAAAGAAGTTTTTTGAACCGCTTTCGTATGGACGCCAAACACTGGAGGCCGAGGAACGTTCCTAGCAGGAGATGCAGGAACGGTAGCTACGAAAGCTGCTCTTCAATGATGCCGCTCGGACGCGGGAAGGTGTCATGGACAGTTTCCTAGAGACACTGCAGACGGGATCCGTGTTCGATAACCCGGATCAACGATAACGACGGGTATCACGACCTGCGGGAGCGGAGCGGAGGGCGCAACTGAATCGAAGCCGATCGCACACAGGAATCACATTCAATGCTTACTCGAGTTGGAAGATGCTCTCGGAGCTGTTGGGATCTTCATATCTTACTTATAATTATATAAAAATAAAGCATTGTAATACTTTTCTATTTTCAACAGACAATATTGCTACAACTAGCACTCAATATAAATAAGAATAGCATTTATTTAACTTATTATATCCGTTTGATTTACGTCCACATATGCTTTCAAAAATTGAACTAAAACCATCCTAGATTAGGATGATAAGCATCCAAGTTGTTGTGGTTTTAACAGATGATGAACTGAATGACAATCATCTCAAAATCATCTGATAATAGTAATAGGGCTTGGGTGAAGCAATAATCATTCGATCAAAGGATGATGTTTTGGTTCAGTGTACAAGCAGCTTCCGGGACAGGAGTTTTATACGGCAAAAGGAAGGGGAAAGGTAGCAGATGTTTTCAAGCACATGAAACTGTCAAAGTTCGCAAAGAAATATCTGGTTTGGCAAGCCATCTGTACCTGTGGCTTGAAAAGCAGCATTTTCATAGCTTCCGGGACTGTCAACCAAGAAATTTACGTGAAAGAGTGTTTGAATAAACGTCTGCTGCCTTTCCTGAAGAAACACGGTTGTTCCGTACTGTTTTGGCCGGATTTGGCATCTTGCCATTACGGTAAAAAGGCCATGGAGTGGTACGCCGCCAACAACGTGCAGGTGGTTCCCAAGGACAAGAACCCTCCCAACACGCCAGAGCTCCGCCCAATTGAGAAATACTGGGCTATTGTCAAGCGGAACCTAAAGAAGACCAAAAAAAACTGCTAAGGGCGAGCAGCAGTTCAAGGCAAACTGGCTTTCTGCGGTGAAGAAGGTGGACAAGGTGGCTGTACAAAATCTGATGGCAGGGGTCAAGCGTAAGGCCCGGCAATTTGGATTTGGAAAAGCGGAAGCCTAACTGAATATTTTTCCTGAATTTTATACTAATTGAACTTGAAAAAGAAACTTAATTTGATTTTTTAAATAAACGATTTCACCGATTTACACGCGTTTTCCCTTGACCAAATTTTGACCGTATCACCCTTTAAAACAATTTTAAAACGCCACCTACAACGCCACTACGTGAGTGATGGAACAGTATCAGACGATAGCAGCAGCGGTGACCTTTACCCAACGAAATTCGAGGGATTCCCTGATGAGGAATGAGGAACGCCAGGCTGGGATTTTCTTCAGACTCATCGTCAGACCTATAGAGGGCGGCGTCATCAAGAGCGCCAACAACAACATCACGGTAAAGTCAGGCATCATAAACAATCAGGTAATTTCTTACTAATTTTACCTATACTTTACTTGTACTCGAATTAACGACCTTAAGTTACAGCTATCTATGAATCGACACAAACCCCTCCCCCATCCTCCCTTGTCTCTTCCCTTATGGCAGCTAATACATTAATGTTGAGATGGGGTCTTGCCAATGCGTTACCCTACCGGTGATGTTACTATGGCTCACCCTGTTTCACATTCTTGGATTACACAGAACTTATTTAACCTGCTGGTAAAGATGCTGTGATGTCACCCCCTGTCTACTGGTATAGCATGTACGGTGCATTAAAGTATCGGAGATCTGGCCCTTGACCAGGGATGGAAAATCATTTACATTCATTTCGTGCATTCATTTACATTCATAAACAGAATTCCGTAAAATAGTGTCTCAAGCTTTTGTAGGCTTTGATATTAGCTACATCTTTTGTAAACAGCTCAAATCAGTATCTCTTATGCATGATGAATCAGAGCGATAAGGACCCACCATTGTTTTTCAGTGAATGTAAATTACATTCACTGAAAAACAATAACATGTTCTGCCAGCTCTAGTTCGTCATGCATAAGTTGTTAACAAAAGTTGTAGGGGGGAGAGGTAGCTCATCGATTCTTCCGGTTCGCCTCCTAGCATCGTGCTATACCAGGTACCAGGCAATAACCAGGGTAGTTGATCCATAGCTCGATGACGTCATTTCGTTGGCGTCTGCAATGGGAAATTCTCATAGCAGGCGTTGACGATGGGACGTTGTCGAGTTGTTGAATAGCAACTATCGTGGTAACTCACCGATTACCTGTCGATCTGCCAAATTTGGAAAGACGTCTGCATTGAATTATCTCAAATAATAATATTCCGCCCACTATATCACAAGAAATTGCGAGTAGCTGAGTGGAATGGAGATAAGTTAAGCATTGGGTACAGGACCAAGTCTCCCCTGGGTGGTGCCAAAAGATGAGCGCAATAGAATCATCAAGTTGCCATAAGGCACGGAATGAGACTATTGCATGGCTGCGTAGTCAAAGTCTTCCATTCGTTAGTCATTTCAGGTGGATTAGAACAGGTTTAGGTGGGCGTTGGCCAGATTTGGATTTTTCAGATGTAATCCTGGATAGGACCCTGTCATTGAACGTCGCGTGAAAGTGGAACTTAATGAAGGCCTAAGTATTTTTTCGTAGTTTTTATTTTTCGGATTTGAAAGATCGTCGGTTATAGTGGCCTGCTTACTGAGCAGAGAAACGCGGTCCCAGGTCCTTACATATCAAAGAGATTTATGGTAAAATCGCTTGTGTATCGTGTATTTTGCGAAACTCGTTGTTGTCGTTGGTTCCGGGTTTGAATGGATACACAAATTTAAGCAACGGTATTATGTGATATGAGGGGCTCGGTGGCCTTAAAGCAACCGTTTTTGCTTACTGAGCAGAACATCATGAGTCTAATCTCAGGCCCATCCACATTCAAGATTCGTCAATCGTTTTATTTGTTAATATGACTACATGGTAATAACAGCAACTCGGTGATTAAAAAGGTGCTCGTCTGCCTAGTGGCAAACGTTTTTGCTTACTGAGCAGAAGACCGTGGGTTTAGTCCCAAGCTCCTTCGCGTTATATGATCGTTAGGACATCAATTCAGCTTATCGTTTACCAAAACGAACCCTGCTGCAAACGCAACCCTCTTATCCAACATCCCAGTGATTCATCGTGGAAGTGCAGAGGTGTTCTCGGCTTCCATCAAAGCGAGTGTCATGTCAACACAATCCTTCCCATTCCTTTCTTGACCTGTGTTCGGGCGCGGCCGGCGCTGGTATTGCCTAATTTAAGATCACCAGTTTTTACACATTGAGGATGATTGCTAGTCCCAAGCATCGTCTATTGGTTCTATGTGTAATTACAGCTGATCTGGCAGTAACAGAGTAGCAACCGTGGGCGGTCAATCAAGCTCAAGCTCATAAGTTGTTAACAAAAGTTGTAGTTAATATTAAAAGCTACAAAAGTTTCATACACCATTTTACGGTATTCTGTCGTTGAAAAAAGTTAGAGGCAAATGAATTTAAATGTATGCACGAAATGAATGTAAATGATTTTCCATCCCTGCCCTTGACCTCCTTCTATACTACACAATCACAATTAAATCTAATGAATTAAAATGCCTAAATTTTACCGAACAGTTCAGCTATTGAAAGTTTTGTAAAAATTACCGAAGTCGGTAATAATTTCTAAGTGTGTAAGGTATAAGCATTACGGTTTTTTGAAGTCCTCGTTCGCTTTGATTTCCCTTATCCGCTCATTCAGCTTCGACGGTACTCTGTAGTAGCAGCTTCTGCTGACAAGCGATGAATGTTAAACGCATCGATATCCGGTTTCTTGAATTCGTAAAGGTCGACAGCTCGAATTTTGCAGCCAACAAGGTAATGCACAGAGTCCATGTTAGGTCCCCTGACAGTCCTTACATCAATGATATTCGAGTTATGCCAGCGGTACACTGATGTCACGTGGTCGATCTGGAAGCAACTTTCGCCGATTGGGTGCCTCCAGATATCAATAACATCGATCTGTGTGCTGAAAATAGCTGGAAATGTCTTAACATGGCCGTGACGATGCAAAGAGAAAGTCGATGAAGAGAATTTGTCAAGGTTACTTAGGACCTAATACATTGTTTAGCTTGATATGCTTTCAGCCTATTATCGTTGGTTACGTTATATTGGCTCTTTGTACCAGTGATTGGGAGAAAGAAATCTTCTCTTCTGACCTGTGTCAATCTTGTATCGTGTTTTGGCATTCTTCGTCATTTTTTTCATCAGAAATTTCATAAAACGCGTCCTTCTAGGCGTCGGATTTCCCTGTTGTCGATGAATTTTCCGCAAATCCTCATAACACGCAACACGCTTCATCCACTTCACAATCACAACGAACCCCATAGTCCAAGTTCTGCTCTATCGCCACCCGCTGTAATAAATATAATATTTGAAAAAAGTGTTGGCGATTGCGCAACCGTACTTCCTGATTAGCACATTCATATTCGAAATATGTATTAGTCTTCAAAGCATGATCGATTTCCGATCTTCCTAGTTAGGGCGGCGTAAACAAATTACTTCCATTCGTTATTTCACTGTACCAGAGCAATAACGTGATACTCTCTCATATCACCGAATCATGCGTTGGGTAATTGAGCGAAAGAATCTTCATAGAACGATTTGAAAAATCACTCCAGACCTAAAACAACGAGATCGACACCACACTGAACACCAAAACGAATAAAATAAAAAAAAGGAAAATCTAAACCCATTTACGCGCTTCTTATCCACCGCTTCCGATGCCTCCGAGTGCCCGGGATCGGAGTCCCTACTGCCGCTGAAGTCAACCACATTGGCTTCGACGCTATCATTGCAGATGCCTTCATTCCTACTAGCACAGCCATTGCCATTGCCATTGCCAGTGCTCGTACCGTTTCGCTTTAATATTACGGTACCATCCGGCGACAATGGACGGTGCATTATTGCTAGGGCCTTGAATAACAAACAAACAAAACCAAAAACCAGACGGACAGACACGGGAGATACAAGCAAGCATCAGCAGTAGAAGAGTGGAGATTTCCATAGGAGTATAATATGTTGATATGTTACCAGATTTATGTTTATCGTATTGCCATATGTACAAGTTTCGAGCGCGCATTAAGATTTGGAGAAGAAAAAAAAGGGAAAATTTATGTTGAGATTATTTCAAATTGCATGAATTGTTGGGCGACTCAACTGAATCTGGAAGCTTTGTTACGGAACAAAAGGCTGTCAGGAAAAGTGCTAGCATATAACATAATATCGAGTGCACGGCTTGGGACGCAATGTACAAAGGAAAGTTACGCAAGGAATAACTTAAAGAAAGCAGAACAATTGCAAGAAACTTAAAAGAAAAAAAATATTTGCAACTAAGGGCGAAATCGTGTGGCAGGTATCAAAACATACTTACACTTCCTATTTTTGTACGCTACGATTGGGGCGCGTAAAAGTAGCGCATTAAGCGGGTTGAGTAAAGAAGAAAGAAGAAAATTTAGCCATTTTTTCGTCGGTAATAACATTGATGAGAGGAAGAGAAGATTGAAGGTATTTACAACATTTTGGAATAGTTTGAGAACTTATGCAACTAAAGTGGAGTGCCTGTCTTTCAAGCCCAAGGGAAATTTTGTCGTCTTCCAAAAATCAAATTCGGTAGTCAAATAATTTTCCGAAAAGTCCTAGAATCTACAAACTAACTTTCATTCCTATTAAAAACAAATCATGACTACCATTGAAGAAAATATGTTAATGCACGCAACAGCCAAAACTTAAAAAATAGAATAACAGTCAAATTAGAACAGAAATTTGGTTTCGTAAACAAGACCGAAAGTTATTCAACTAAGCTAAAACAGAATGATGATGAAAAAAGAAAAAAAAAGTACATTCCCCAACGAATAGAAACCCCGATCTACAGAGCCTTTTGATTCTATTCTACAAGAGAAGAAGACACATGTGAAGATCGCTGGAAGCGATTCGCTCTACTTACAATTCCTGGCTTAGCCTGTATGTTTTAGAGGAGGTCGTGTAATTACAAATGGATTGTGAGATAGAGGTATGCGTATTTTCGGAGGGGCAAAACCGTATTTTGTGTATGATTGGTTTAGGTTTGATTGGTTTGTTCGAGAGGGGCAGCAAGCGCGCATGTTCGAGTGGAATGTGGAAAAGAGAATAAAGAAAATAACATCGTTAATACTGCTGTCACAGCCCTTATTCCATGTGTGCAATGTTTGTGTGTGACATAATTTATGGCATATGATCGTGTGCACCCTGGAAGCCCTGGCCTGTGTGTCGGTGTGGTTTCTGATTAATCCTTCAGGATAATGGAAGTATTCTTACAAAATATACAACCTCAGATGGGCAAGAGTGCCGGAGTAAACGATGCTTACCTGGAAAGCGGAGTAACGACCGCCCTTGCGGGGACGATTGTAGGACGGCAGATAGCGACGAATCGGGTCCAATTCGTTGATGTGCAGCAGCCCGGCGGTCAGCAGCTGGGCGATGATGAACACCGATTGACCCCAGAGGAACAGCGACTGCGACGAGGCTCGAGTATACATACCGTCACCATCCGGTGCGTAGCACATCGATACCACTGGGTCTGAAAGCAAAACACATCGGTACTTCACATAATTGGTTCCACATCACCAACTCACCCCCATTAACATCCGAATGCATGCACTTCCTCAACTCCATCTGATACTCCTCGATCTGTTCCAAATTGTTCTTGAACACTCCGTCGATGATCATATAGGTGTAAAAAATTGGCCACTCGCACTCAAAGTTTTCGAAATCCTTAATCTCCCCCTTGTGATAGTATCGTCTCGTTTTGTCCTCCAACCGGGACAGGTAACCATCCCGGCTGAATCGTTTGAAGCCCTTCTTGCCTCTCAATCGCTTGATGACGTTGTTCTTTGTCAGATCTACCAATCGATCCTCGTGCGAGGCGAATGCCGGAAACGAAAGCGTCGGAATCAACGAAGCATCCACTCCCTTCGAACTCGATTCCCGAGGTAACATGGTTTCAAAAATACTCCGATTACGGTTGTGCGCATCGATATCCACGTAAACGACACTCCACGAGGCACCCTTCTCGCCAAAAAGATTGCACCCATTGATGGCTTCCAGTGCCGACTTGGCCATTCCAATCGAGGAAGCATGGATTTCCGGCGTTCCATCATTGTACTTGGAACCACGCTCCCACATGCCGTAGTCCGGCGTACGGTAGGCACGCTCCACGTAGTATACCAAATTCTGCACAAATGCCACCTCGTCCTGTGTGTAGATGATCTGTAGCCCCGAAGATATCATTTGTACTAGGAATATGAGGTAGATTGAGACAACATCGATCTGCAAATGATTGTACTTTTCGTCCGAATAGATTTCCTCTCCCATGTCCAGGTGAAACTTGCAATGCAGCGCATTGACGGCACACTGTCGGGATTTGAACTTCTCCACCCTGTGAGCCTGTTTGATCCAACACTCCAGAATACCCCGCATGCACTTAACGGCCGACTGACCCAACTCGTACGATTTACCGCGGTCATCGTCTATGCGTCTACAAGAAAAATCCATATCAAATTCTCCACCCAAAATCCAAGCCGCTAAATTTCAACTCATACCTATACGCCTGATAGAGACTCCAGATGGCAGCCGCACAGTAAACACTGTCCCGAACGCTGCCGACCTCCCGGTCGGTGCTCAAAACCGGAAACAACCCGGTAATCGGACTCTGAAACTGCAACAGTTGGCGCTTGACTGAATGCGAAAGAAAAAAAAAACAAACAAACATAAACAAAAACCAGACCACCACGGCAAGAAGATAAAACAACGCGACCAAAACAACGAAAACAACACTCTCTTGCCCGTTAACATTCAGCCAAGGACGAATCAATCAGCGTACCGAAGGGAAAGTGAATTTCATTAAAAAACGAACCCCTCTTCAACCTACCAATTCCGTAGTATATATCCAGCTGTTTGACCGTGTCCTCGTAGTTGGAGATCTTCAGAAACTGGTCCAAATTCATGTCGTCCAGGCTGGGCTGCCGAGCGACGGGTGTTGCCGGATTGCTGTTATAGGGACAGATCAAAAGTTAGCTAAAAATGCCGAAATCTGGCCAACCAACACGAAATACTTACGCAAACGGACGCTCCATGCTGTTCATGGCTGAGAGTTACCTAGCGGCGTTCTTTTCAGTCCGGTTTCGTGCACTTTAAACGTAGAAAATCCGAATTATTTGACCGAGATCAAAGGATCTGCGGCAGAGATGATGAAAATTTTTGCACTGAATGACACGGTTGACGTTTCAATGTCATTGAGAGTGAAATGGAACGGGCGGACTCTGACGGAAAACTAGTCCAACTAGCAGTGTAAACAAGAGGGCCTGCCGAAAAACGATGGCGCTGATTTTGGTTTGTGTAAAGGGTTTGTGTACAAAACACATGAGTTCAGATCCCTGTGGCTGGAGAGTTAATTCTTCGGACACACTATTAAATAATTGATATTCGTTTCGTGTAAATACATTAAGGGTTAACTGAAATTTTCATTTAACCCTAAATGTATACAAATTGAAAATCAATTATTTTATTCATGTGTTTCACTTATAAATTTTTGCCAAAACATCAGCCTTATACATTCCATAAGACAAACCACATAGGTCCTGTAGTCTGCATAAACCGAATGTCGAGCCGAATGTGTTACCGAATGTTACATTAAATTTAACACATGATCTTCATTAATACGCCTTGCAAATACTTGTAAGTTGACTTAAGGGAAAGTTCACCGATCCGAAAAATAATAATTACGTTTCTATTTTTCTAAAAATATTGGAAAAAGATATATAAAATCTAAAAAAATCATATATTTTGTTATTTTCTTAAAAAAAAATCACATCTAAAAACATTTTTTGTAAGTCATCATGACAAAACGTTGGACTCAAAAAACCACGAAACACCGACCTTTTGATTTTGCAAAAGTTCATGTTTTTTTTAAGATGTTAGGTTCACGGATACGAATTTTGGTCATTTAAATTAAAATATAAATGTGTATACTCTAAACAAATAAATGACTCAAAGTAAATTGAAAATATGTTTAAAACTAAAATATTTATGTCACAATTAAATTCAAACGCATGTTTATTTTAGCAATATAGAATTGGGAAAAACAACTTTTAGCGTGTCCTTTTTTCCTTCTCTTTTACATTCGGAAAAAATCAACTGAAAACGACCCAAAAGCAGCGGAACCGAAGTAAAACAAAACGATAAAACTGGCGGGACAATATCAACGTCACTCCGTCGTTTCTGATGCCTCTCCCCATATCAACCTCACCCGACGTCGAAAGAAAAACGAAAATCCGAAATGGATATACTGAATACATTCCGGATCCTCCCCCAAAACCAAACTTAAAAAGAGGCCGGTATGAGGACCAGCGTCAGAAACGACTAAACGACGCTAATATCACAAACTTTCACCGATTCTACTGAACTGAAACCCCCGGACACCCACCCCGACCTCCCCGAGAACTGGCAGTGGTTTTCATTGGCCAGTACGATAAGGAATTACGTTTTGCTTCGCAGTGGGCACTAGCTTCCACAAAGCAATTTCGTAGCACTGAATTCATTTGCTCTTAGAAGTATAGTATGACCATCATTTGGCGGCACCATCTCTATCTCCGAACAAACCTCTTAAAACTCACAAATCTATAATTCTGGTGTTACGACGTTGAACAATTATCACTTGACCACAGTCTCACCGAAATGTAAATAAACACCTTCGGCTTGCTGCTTCGTCTGCTATGGTTGTTTGTTCGGTTGTTTGTTCGCTCGATCACGAGAAGATTCGAGCATGCGCAAGTACACGGAGAACAAATTCGTTATGTTAAGATAGCAATCCTAATAGTTACTTTCACATGGAAAAATATTGTTGTTTGGAAGAAACCTATAGTTATTCCAACTTTAATTTGACCGTCAACTCAATCATATCTACCTAATAGATTCAACTGTTCATCTTATACTCAATTCAACTATAACTTGGATCAATTATAACAAACGTCAAATGTAATTTATTTATATGATTTGGTTTCAAGTGATCATCATAAATCCACATACTTTTAACTTGTGATGCGTAGAGCAGGCGATAAGATAGCTGGCTCTCACGCAGACGAACACGGTTCAAATCTAAGTTGAATGTTCTTGTTCACTTTTTTTATGATTTTGCAGTTGTGTTTTTGAGATCGATGAAGCAAAACAAACTTCCTTAATATGTCGATAATGAAGAGCAGTTTGTTTAATCAACATTGTAAAATTTTGCTTTCCTAACAATAGTTTTCTTGAATCAACTAAAGCATAGTTGAATTTTGAAGTTTGACGTTTGTTCATCTACTGAAAAATTATAGTTGAGCCAACCGAGGAGCCAACTACACTGATAGGCAAAATAAAGTGCCCACCCCATCATTTTTTGAATTTCTCTCATTTATTTGGTTCAAATTAAAGTAAATACACTGTAGTATTTTTTATATCTTATTCTTTATATTCTTTTTAAGTTTCACTTATAGAATACCAGATAAAAAGAAGAGACTGACTCGAAGAAAAAAAAATCAAAATGGGTGTAAAAAAGAACAGTGACAAAAAAAAGTGCCCACTGCATTTTAACTCCAGAAAACATAAAATAAAGTAAAAGAATACCAGCCTAATAGTTAATGTGTCCTCCTTTGGCCTTCAGGACCAGCTGCAGGCGCTTCGGCATGCTCTCCACTAGATTCTTCAGGTGCTGTGGATCTAGTTCTTCCCAGGCGCGCTCCAGGGCTTCAAAATAGTTATTTTTATTGGTAACACCAGTTTTGTCAACCCTGGCATCGAGAATCGCCCACAAATTCTCGATGGGGTTGAGGTCCGGGCTTTGTGGAGGCCATTCCAGTGGTTTAATTCGACATGACCGGAAGAAAGACTTAGTCTTCTTGGCAGTATGCTTCGGATCGTTGTCCTGCTGGAATACGAATTTCTCCTCAAGGCCCGTCTGGATCAGCGAAACTTCCAGATTTTCCCGCAGGATGTCGATGTAGGAATCTGCCGTCATTATCCCGTCGATTTTCACCAGGCTTCCCACTCCACCCCACGAAAAGCACCCCCAGACCATCACATTTCCTCCTCCATGCTTCACCGTGCCTTGTATGTGGCGCTCCTGAAGCTCCTCACCCGATCTACACCACACACGAACCCGTCGCTTCCGGTTGAACAGTTCGAATTTTGATTCGTCCGTCCAGAGAACCGTTTTCCAGAACTCTAGGGGCTTATCAGCATGCTCCTTAGCAAACTTAAGCCGTTTGACTTTGTTTGCCTTGCTGATAAATGGGCGCTTCCGAGCAACTTTGCTGTTCAACCCCTGTGCTACGAGACGGCGACGAACAGTTCGACTGGAAACTGTTAGCTGAAGAGCCTCCTGGATCTCGCGGACAGTTACCTTCGGGTTCTTCTTCACTTCACGCATGATCTTGGTGTCCGTTCTCGCATCCGTTTTGCGCATCCTGCCTCTGCCAGGGCGATCCACCACTGATCCGAACGATTTCATTTTCTGCAGAATTTTCCCGACCGCTGTTTTGCTGATATTGTACTTCCTAGCGACAGACCGGTGCGATTCACCGTTTTGCACATCACGAACAACCAATTTTCGGATACACACGGGAATTGCTTTCGAAATCACTACGTCCTCCATTTTTTTCAACTGATTCAAATGCGATCACGTGTACAAATGCACCAGTTCCACCCGTTTGCTTCAATACATGTCAAACTTTCAAAACAAAAACAATCGAGGGGTTTTCCGATGGAAACTTATCGAAAACATACCGATTTTTGAAGTGGGCACTTTTTTTTGTCACTGTTTTCTTTTTCAATCCAAATTGATTTTCTTTTACTTCAAGTAAAACTTTATATTTTCAGTATTCCATAGGTGTAACTTTAAAAGAATAATAAAGGTAAGACATCGAAACAGACTACGGTGTGTTTATTTGAATTTGAACCAAATAAATGAGAGAAATTTCAAAAATGATGGGGTGGGCACTTTATTTTGCCTATCAGTGTATGAACTATAGTTGTTACCCTCTATATATAGTCAAATCAACTATAGTTTCGGGTTATCTCTAAAAGAATTGAACAATATAGTTATTTTGACCGGAAAAATAATTACGTCTGCTATAATTTCTTCTCCGTGTAGATGTTAGTAGATGCCACAGATGCAAAAAGATGGTGTACGGTGGATAAATATATAAAAATAGGACAGATTCACGCTGAAAATGAGATAATCTGGATGTGTCCCCCCTCGGAGGAATGGTGCATTCTGGGGAATGTTATTGAATCCATGATCTTCATTAACTTTTTGCAAGGCGTCTGCTTATTAGTTGACTTGTACATTTTATGAATAATCAGCAATAGAAATTTTCCAAAAGGTATAAGAAGATTTCTATCCGTGTATGAGCATTACATTGCCCTTTTTTTCAAAAAAATACACCTGAATAAAATCTTTAATTAATCCGTGCCGAAGGTGTAGTGGTAGGCATGATTATCTCTCACCCCACCAGGCCTGGGATCAATCCCAGTCGGCACCGCCGGGATGGTCTGAGGCATAACATCTCTGATCACGCCTTTCTCGGAAGGGAAGTAAATCAGTTGGTCCCCGGTTCACGAGTCGATAGGTAGGGCTAGGTGTGGGAGCTGCCTCCCTGACGTCGGTAGCATTGGTGCTCAGCACGGCAAACAAGATCGACGGAAAACAAATCAAAGGAAAAAATTCTTTAAATTTCCTTCCCTACACCGAGGTGAATTTCCATATACCTTTTATGTGTGAAACCACATATTTTTTTGCAATTAGACCTCACAAATAAACAATATGTTTGGGGAACATAAAAATATTTGGTTTCCCACAAATAAAATCAATGTTCTAAAAGAAATGAATTTCATATGTTTTGCAAATAAAATTTATGTGTGAGATTTATTACATTTATGTCTCGGTAGAACATAATGATTATGTGTCTAATTCAAATGAAAGTCATGGTTCAAGCAATAATGTTTACGTGTCAAGTACATATACTGTATATGTGCTAAAAATACTATTTCCAGGGTTTCAGGCCTCGGTTTAGGCAAGGGCATTGGTAAAGCGTAGAGGAATATAAGGCAAGACGGACATAATCTCTAAACCACAACGTTTTATAGTTAATTTGGTAGAAATGTGTGTAAATCACTTCGCTAGTAAGTTCTCATACAGCATTACACATATTTCTACCAAATTAACTCTATGGTTTAGAGATGATATCCGGCTTGCCCCATATGGTCATCTTGCCCCACATTAACTTATCTTATGGTATTCTATGTTTACATATCTTGAAACTCATTAACATTGATACTTTTAATAACGTGCTACATTATTATTATTATTTGAACATAGAATAACATAAGATACGATACGCTAGACCAAGTCGACATGTGATACATGTGAGATTTATTATAGCATAAATTTAATCTAATAGTTTATTCATTACAACAATTTATTACATCAAAAAATAATCAATTATCTCGATACTTACAGATTCATTGCCAGAATAATGGTGATGTCTTGTAAGAACTTCTTCGATGATTTTTGATTTCAATAAGTGGGGTTTCCTGATCTCAAAAGACACAATCCACTTGTCCAGAACTGTACTCCACGGACAAGAATTCTGTTCTAGCCACAGTATCGCTTCTTCTGCCACCGGATCTTTAGGAACGAATGGGTCAACCTTTTATTTTTTCCCATGCAAATGTTCTTCTTCCTTAAACGCGCGTTTGATCAATTTTTGTTTTAAGTTTGTAATTCTATTGAATAATCTTCCGCCATGGTTCTTTCTCTTTCCACTTCTTGCTACAAAATACGTATCCTGAAAATCAAAAGATTGAGGTTAAAATTTTAATGTTTGTATAATTGTGCAATGTAGTGCATACCAATGTCTCGTGACTGAATTGAGCAACAATTGCTTCACCGTAGTCACGAAGACTCTCCTCTTTCAAGGAAGTTCCCAGGCTAATGTGATAATCGGCGATAACTCCAACCAGCTCCCGCTGACTTTCTTTTGATAAAAGACCTCGCTGGCCTCGCTTCAAAATTTCCTTCCCTGTTATTGTTGTGTTCAGCAAATCAACAAGAGTTTTTACACAAAATCTCTTGACTACCTTGATTTGGACACTCGGAGCAATTTTGTCGGAACCATCTACAGGCTCTGGTGGGTTCTTGAATAGGAGTTTTATGCCGTCACTGACGTCCGTGGGTTGATTATTTCCGCGTGGAGGCGAGTTCTCCTCCTGCGCGTCATCCTCCTGTCCGTCTTCCTCCTGCACGTCCTCCTACTGCGCGTCCTCCTCCTGCGCGTTCTCCACCTGCGCGTCCTCCTCCTGCGCGTCATCCTCCTGCGTGTACTCTTCCTGGACGTACACCTCGTCAAAGGTGAAAAAGCCGTATCCCTGCGTAAAATTCATAAAAAAAATGTTATTTCGCACAAATTAAATATCATTGCGCCTACTCACGTTTGCCTTGCGCCAATCAGTTAGGCGACGGAAGATTTCGTTTATATTCCACTCCGTTTCCTCCGATTGTAAAGATTCTCCAAGCTCGTCGCGGGAAATGTTGATTAACGTGTCTTCCGTGAACTTTTTCGCTGAAAACAATCAAAAATAATAATTTGATGGTAAGCAGTTAAAAATAAATAATTATTTACCTTTGAAAATGTTCGAAAGTTCTGCTGGAAGATCGAGCAGATATAGCACAATTTCAGTGAATTTATTTGCTGACGCCATATTGCTTGTGTGCACTGAACTGAATAGATCAGTGCACGGTCCCTAACCTCACTTTTTGCTCCCTATCATTTTGTTCTGAGTAAAAGAGATAGCAACGAATGGGAGCCAAAACAAACCACCCAAAACTGTCAAAACTTACGGGTGAGAGAAGAGTGCGGCAAATCTTCGTGAACTGATCAATAGCTCAAACATCAAAATTATGTGTGTATACACATAATCTTCAACTATAAGATGCGAACCATAATTTTTATGGCAGCACACACATAAATAAAATTTGTCACGCATATACGTGTTATAGGTTAGCTTATAGTAGCTAAGGGGTTTATAATGATGTTTATGTTTACACACATAAAAATAATGTTTTGCATATCTTATAAAAAGTATGTGTACCAGCCAAATAAACTTTAAGTTTAGAATTTTATTAGTGTAGACTTTTTGCTAATTTGAGTAAACGAAATTTGCATTTAAATTGATTTAATCGGCAATCTGGCTCAATACCGGTACAGTATCGCACCACATCAGTTCACGGGCAATCGAATGAAAAATTTCATCTCTGTAAACGACACTCCATCCGAATCTTCTGAAAAACAGCTGCTCGTCTGCCAAAGTTCGTTCATAACCGAGTCGACCACTGTACGGTAAGGACGTGTTTTCGCGTTCGTCCCTCCGGTGTTTTTGGTGTGCGTTGTCCGGTCCGGTGTGTGGTGGCCTTATATACTATAATCTACTGAACAACCTGCAACCAGTGCTACAGTGTATAGTGTAGGGTGACATAAACAATACAACGCAGTGAGTAAATAATAGCGGAGAAAGCATAATAGCAAAAAGGTAGTGCGCGAAACGCGGAACCGGTGATGATGGGAAGGAGGAGTGTTGTGATAAGACGCGAAAAAGATAGGCAGTAAAAATCACTCAATCAAATCGAGGTAAATCATGGAATAATAGGATAGCTTCTCTGCCGGTCTGTTCCGGTACGGAAGTGAGAAGGCAAGGTGCTTAGATGGTGATTGTTTTGGACGGAAGTGGAAGAATAATATTTTTTCGTTGATATGGAAACGAGTAACAGTGTTGGTACCTAGTGTTGTTGTGAGAGAGTGAAGCTTGTTGGTTGTGTATGTAAAGAAGTACATTCTTTGTGTGAATGTAGTGTTGTTACCATTGTTATGCTATTTCAAGTATCAATAGCATTTTAATGTTCGAATTTTGCAGTGCATTAATACGAAAAAAATAGTTGCAACAGCGTGAAAAAAGTCTACTAGTATCATCATTCATTTGCACTCGGTTCGAAAGATCCGGGTATTTTTAGAATACGGATTCATCCATCTACAAAACACACGGTAAGTGAGAGCTGTAAATTTTTGACATGCATGAGTAGGCATCACTTTCGTCATTGTTTCATCAATCTTACAGTCATTTTTTTGTGAATTTTTGGTATCTTCCATTGCACAATCTGGGAAATGATTAAACTGACTTGAAATGCTCGCTTATAAAATAGAACACAAGTCACAAACCACTGGTGCAACTTTTCGTCTGGTGTTTTCAAGGCTATTAAGCCGGTCAACCATGAGAAGACGCGAACCGCGACTTGCACGCTGACCAATGACTACTAGTCGGTCTAGATAGGAGCAGTGCGGTGACTAATTCTGTTTTGGAAAACTTGTTTCTTACCATGGTTTTAGTTGCCGTCGTCCGTCTGCCCCGGACGAATAGAAGCTAGTTAGTGTCCATAGTGATTGACACGTGATATGACCAAACAAATAAAGTAGTAAACTTGTCCCGTGGTTGAGAGGTGTCAACTGATGTTTTAGCACTTTTCTAGTTTGTCGCAACAAGTGGGCTTGTACTTGTTAATCCGACTGCACATTATCGCACTATCTTCCAGGTCAGGCCTGCCCAACGTACGGGTCCGCGTCGTAATATTGTGCAAGAGTTTAGAAAAAGTCTTCCCATCCGACCCGCGGGTTGTTCTATTCTCGTTCATCTTTTTCAGATCAGAACGAATTGAGAATTTCCGTAACGGTTTCTGATGTCAATAAACCGCGTATGGATTTTAACATTTAGCCCGCGGTTCAAAAACGTTGGGCAGGCCTGTTCTATGTAAAGCTGCTATTTCTAGTATCAAGTTCGCATACCTAGCTTGTAGCTGCGATTTCCCACGCCAATGTGAATTTACGCTTGGCTGATTGAACAGCTACCATCTAGAGGCGAGTGTGTTTATTGAATTATAAGAATGTAGCTACGATGTGGACCTTGACATTGACTGTGCAGTATGATGAATTTGATGCACTTATTGTTTCTAGACGATGTGTTACAGCGAGTTGGAAATCTATGTTTGATTATGACACGATGAGACTGTTTTGATTATTTGTAGCAGTTTGGCGATAATTTTAATACCGAATTTGTATAGATTCAGTTACTAGGATTATAGGTCTTAGCATATTTTCATTAATATTACATATAATCTTTCTCAGTGAAACATACTGCCTATAATCCCATATCAGTCCCATATGGAAAAAGTAGGCATTGAGAAAATGGCAGTTAACTGTTTTGAAATGCAATTATCATGTACATATTTGAAAAATCATAGTAAATTAATTAATAATTTTTCTATGTTAAAATCAGTTTCATTGGAGCTTGCATGTTTTGTTATATCAGCGAAAAATGGGAAATCTTAAAAAGCAGAACCCGGAAAAAAATAACCATACAATTACCATAAGATAAAATACAGTTACAAGTAAATCTATTGCCAACAATCGATCTTATTGTGTGTATATAGTACACGAAGTTTTAACATATTGTTATTACAATAGATGCACAATACGTCCCATATAGTAAGAGTTTTCAACAATAGAACAACAATACAATTAATGGTAAATGGTTCAAGTTTGTTCGGGAAAAAGTGATTTTTCGTATGGTTAAGATACATAACGACCCCTTTAATCTATTGTATAATCCCCCATTTACCATAGATTCTATTGTAGAAACAATACATTCTATTGTTATTTTATCGTTGTGGAGAATACGATTTATTGTAAATACCATAAACTCTATTGTATGGTTACAATACATTTCATTGTACCTCTACGGTTCTTTTTTTTACGGGAACTGTGACTTGACCTCTGGACGTTTGTATTAAAAAATGGGACTGATTTGCGATTAATTTGCTTGATGGGACAAACTGAATTGATGTTGTTTTCACATTTTTCATGATCAAGTTTTACCGCGCAGTAGATGCCAATTGATAGTAGATAACGTTGTTATCTCAAGATTGACGAAATCCATATGAGACTGAAATGCTATTATAGGCAGCATATCACCTATTTGACACATTAGTAAGCTTCAAACAATCAAGAGCAAAGCGAAACTAACATTCGCACCGATCCACATAATGTTTTGTTTTGATGACCGAAAAGTTATTCCTATTTCCATTTTATCACATACAATCTCATAGTGATAGCAATGTTTAACATATTAAGAAGGGTTTTAATCATACAAAGCAGATCGCTAGCTTTCATGCTAAATTTATTTGTACAGGCTCAATCGAATAAACTTTACAGAGCCAAGTTATCATTTGCGTTATACATAATTAATGTCTTAAATATAGAGTTAAAGGAATTGAACCGATTACTCGCGGTCGTCTCGAGGTTAGTAGAGATTTGCAGTTTTATGGATGGGGAGAGGGAGAAGGAGGTTTGAGTTATGATATACGATACAAATATTTCATTATTCCTAAAACATGAACTTATTCCTTTTCAATTTGGTATCAGCAGTGTAATTATACAATTATTACAGAAACAACAATTAAAAAAAAACCCACACGAACAAAACAAAAACTAAACACAAAGTTAATCAAACTTACAATCTACGGTTAATATTCTTAAAGAAAACATTTATAAGTTTCATAAACTCCAGATCGCGTCTACCCAAAATATCTCGAACTGGAACATTAAGTTGTCTACCTCGAGCCCGAAGGGAATCGTACAGTTCAGATCTGACTCCGCGATGCTCGGCACAAGACCAAATAATGTGATCTGCGTCCTGGTAACCTTGTCCACATTCACAGAGATTGTTGTCCCCCAGCCCAACACGGAACAAGTGAGCGTTTAACGAGTAGTGATTGGACATGAGGCGAGACATCATACGAATGAAGTCTCGACCCACATCCAACCCCTTGAACCAAGGACTCTTCGACACCTTAGGGATGATCGAATATAGCCATCGTCCCAAACTCCCTTCACTCCATTTAATGCTGCCAACTGACGAGTGACTGTTGACGATAACTGAAGAAAAATTCATCGTAGGCGATTTGTCGATCGTAAATATCGCCTTCCATAGCACCCACCTTAGCAAGTGAGTCCGCCTTCTCATTGTCCGGAATCGAGCAGTGAGATGGGATCCATGCAAAGGTGATGACAAAAGATCTTTAAGATCATCATCATCATCTGGTGGAAGTGAGGCGATCGTTTCTAGCGTATAGTATATTGCCGCCAGCTCAGCAATATATACGGAACAGGGAGCTTGAAGCATACGAAAGGCTCTATGAAATTCGTTATAAATACCAAAACCAGCGGACGCGTCTATTAGTGATCCATCTGTGAAGAACGATCTTGCGGAATCAACTTGGCCAAACTTTGCAGCATAAATTGACGGAACAATCATGGATCGATGATGTTCTGGGATCCCACGAATCTCCCACGTCATAGATAAATCGAAACTAACTGAATTGCCGAAGTCGGAGAAGCATACACGATGAGGATTATGCTGTGAAGGGCTGACATCCTGTGTTATGTACACGTAGTACAATGACATAAAACGAGTTTGAGGGTTTAGCTCAAGAAGATTCTCAAAGTTTTCGATTACCAGTGGGTTCATAATTTCACAACGGGTGAGGAGCCTGAGGGACAATTCCGAAAATCGATCCGATAGTGGCAACATGCCCGCCAACACGTTGCGGTAATTGTGCGGAGAAAATTGATCATTTGTTGGCATTTTCGTCTCAGATACTCAATGTGGGATCGCTAGGTACATTTGGAATCGAACCAGACTCCAAGGTATTTGAAAAACATAGAATGAGTGGTTGAAGCATAAGTTGAAGCTTCGGTTGTGCTTCCTAGAAAAAACGACCAACTCAGTTTTCTCCGAGGAGAATTCGATACCTAGCTCGATAGCCCAAGTAGATAAATTATCTAAGGTATCCTGTAAGGGTCCTTGCAGGTCGACCCCTTTGGGCCCTGTCATAGACACTACGCCGTCATCTGCAAGTTGTCTCAACGTGCAGTTGTCACTTAGACAATTGTCAGTTTCTCTGGCGCAGAAATTATACAGAAGGGGGCTTAAACATGAGCCCTGGGGGAGACCCATGTAACCAAATCAAGAAGCTGTAGCGTTTCCATTAGAAAAGGTTATATGTTTCTCTGACAGCAAATTGTACAAAAAGTTATTAATTAATGGAGAAAGGCCACAAGCGTGGAGTTTGTTTGAAAGGACTTCAACCGATACTGAATCAAAAGCCCCCTTAATATCCAAGAACACAGAAGCCATTTGCTCTTTTTTTAGCAAAAGCCAACTGAATTTCTGTGGAAAGCAACGCGAGACAGTCATTCGTTCCCTTACCCCTTCGGAAACCAAATTGAGTATCTGAGAGTAGGTGGTTCATCTCAACCCATTTATCCAGGCGAAAAGGATCATTTTCTCCAACACTTTTCGAATGCACGATAACATCGCGATGGGACGATACGAGTTATGATCTGACGCGGGTTTTCCAGGCTTTTTAATGGCTATAACTCTCACTCGCCTCCAATCATCCGGAACAATATTGAGCTCTAGGAGCTGACAAAACAAGTTCAACATGCGCCTCTTAGCGACGTCTGGGAGGTTCTTCAACAAGTTGAGAAAAAAAGCAATTTAATCGGTAAATAAATTTAAAAATGGGATGTGATCCTATATTCAGACAGTATACAGTGTAATAGCAGGAGCAACGATTGACACTTTTAGCTCGACTTTGTTTACCTTTGTTACTTTGTTAGGTTGTTAATCTACTTTGATGAAATCGGCTGCTTCAAGCAGACTGAGCCATTCAGATAGCTAAATATCAGATTTTTTTTCAGTTTACAGAGGAACCGGGAGGGCTTATTGGAAACTTCTCACCAAAAAAGTACTACTTTTCTAGTTAGTAAAATTTCGAGGCCAAGACATGTCCAAAGGCCCATAAAAAGATCTGTAGGAGAAATTGGATTATTTACTATAATTATAATTATTATAATTTAACTAGAATGTATCTTTCTTTGAAACCATGTATTCTAAAACTTAGGGCACAAGGGCTTAATAAAACAGATGATGTTGGAAATAGGACGTGGGGCCAGCTTAGGAACATATGCACAATATTAGTATAGCGTGGTATTAGAAAGACCATTTGAGAATAGATTGAATTCACATACCTGTTTGTATTACATCTTTTGTAGTTTGAACTAATGCTCTGTAGTTTAGATTTTGTGTATCTTATTGTAATAGTTAAATGTACATTCAAAGTGTTTTTGAAGTAGGACTACGTCTGTGATTTCTATATGGGGGTACACTTTGTGAAAACAGAAAATGGAAAATGTAACACAATTATGAAAGTTTTTGAACGTTCATAACTCAGTTGCTCCAGGACCAATTTCAATAATTTTATCACCAATCGATTAGAAATATTTCTACGGATGCGTAACTTAAGACTTTATCATTTTTCAAAATGTCACTATTGAAATGTGCAACTGTTGCTATGATAATTGCGCAACTGTCGCTGCGAAAAACGATTTCCCTAACACAGATTTCAAAGTTGAATTCCATCCTGTTTCACCAAACGGTGTTTATTCAATCACCGCTTGGTGAGTCATGGTGTTCTCCAGTACACAACGAAAGGTTCCCCACAAGCAGCTAACTATCAAGGCTGATCGGAGTCAGCTCCAATCACCGTGTGGTGGTGTCCGGTAGTCGGCATCAGCAGCAGCAATCCTGTGCAGTGCTTTCGGCGCGTGGCGTTGAACACTGTTCTCCAGTACACAACGAAAGGCTGCCTGCAAGCAGCGAGCTGCAGCCCACATGAGCATCCATAGAAGGAAGAAGACGCCGCACCGCTATTGAAAGGAATCAGTAGTTCTTCGTGAGTCGCTGTGAGCCATCTATGCCAAGCGCGTCACCCTCATTCCAAACAACACACAGCTCACAAGCCTCATCTGTGTTTAACAGCCTAATAGCTCAGCATTACTCAACCATTACGACAAAACGGTCTTTTTGAGGACCACCATAAACTTGTACAAGAGTATTTTTTGGACATTTGTCAAGGTCGTCAATCGCATGTCAGTTCCCTAGATATAGATAGAATTAGGGCGTAACAGTTTTTCTTTCGATGATGTCTTGGAAGTCAAGACTCGCCCACGCAAATAAACATCACCATCAAGTAGGGTAAGACTTCCTCTACCCGACGGTAATTTTTGTTTGCGTAGGCGTGTCTTGAATTCCTAAAAATCTTCGAGAGAATTCATTGTTTACAAAAACTGTTACGCCTAATTCCAGCTTTATTTAGATATGTTTAAATCTAACATACCATGTTCTTGAAGGTAACACTGGGGGTGCAATTTCAAAAACCAAAGTCGGTCGCGGCATGAAAGTGGTCTGATTTTGATCCACAGAGGATGGATTTAAATTCTTAATCAATCGATAGGAATTTTTCCTACGAATCTTTTAAAATTAAGACATCATTTTTAAAAATGTCACTATTGAAAATTGCATGAATGTGCAACTTATCACCGATTGCCTACAAAAAGCGATTACCCTAACACAGATTTCAAAGTTGAATGCCATCCGGTGTCACCAAACGGTGTTTATTAAATCACAGTGTGGTGAGTGATGGATGCTCACATGAGCATCCATAGAAGAAGGAAGAACCGGAACCGCTATTGATTGGAATCAGTAGCTCTTTGTGAGTCGCTGTGGGCCATCAATGTCAAGCGCGTCATACTAAAGAGTATAAACAGAGATAACCCCACTCAAATTCCTATTCCTACACAAAACACAAGCTCCTGCTGCAGTTAACAAATAAGATTTATTATATAAGACCACGTAGTCCTACGTCACCATTGCGTACAACCCCATAGGGTTGTCCCTTGTAGTTTTTATGTTACTTCATACGCGAAGTTTGCGATTTTCAGAGTAGGTTGGAAATGCTATCTAACATGAAGCTTTAGTGTGATAATTTATTAGCTAGAGAATGGTCTTAGAAAAAGGTAGGTAGATAGTTCCGTTAGAGTACGGCAGTATGAAAATTGAATAGAAGTTGAAAATGAGCGTAGGGCCATGCGACAGTACAAGTCAAATGCACACTTCTTTACCTATCTCGTACAATGTACTGTACGCGGAGATTTGAAGTATGTCTTCAAATCTACAGGCCAAAAAGTGTGCGCTTGGCTTGCTCATATACTGTCTGTGGCTGTGGAATAGTTCTAGCGACGTTTCATCACTACCTAAAGTCCCACGTTGCCGAAATCATTTCCAGTCGATGTTAAAAATAAGAGATGAGGAAGAAATATACTCATTTGGTGAAAACACACTTACACACACAGTTAAAAATACTTCCACGGATACTAAAATCAATACTGACATTGAGAAAACACGTTTAATCACAATGGCACTGACAAATATAAAGACATCGACAAAGACAATGACACTGACTGACACTGATTCTCAAAAAATTTCCAGAAGATTATGTAAGCTGATTTCGATAGCCCGATAGACATAGACTAATCCGTTCAGCATAGTCACTTGAAAATGTTCAAACTCGAACCCCGTTTATTGTAATCCTATGGGGATAAAAAATATCACGAGAACAAAAATATATAAAGTTTCAAATGATTATGCCATCACTGGTGGCAAGTTTAGTCGTACTCTATGCCCAGGGAAGTCGAGAAATTTTTCAACCCGAAAAATTCCTAGACCAGACCGGGAATTGAACCCAGCATGGTCTTGCTTTTATGGCTACGCTTTTACCGACTGAACTAAGGGAGGTTCGATGATATGTACAATTAATAATATTACTATCCTGTGTGACGCACCATGGACTCTTGACGATCAGAAGAACGGACAATCGAGCTTTCTAGACTTAGGCCGCTGGCAGAGATGAAGCTGGTGACCGAGCGGACAACAGATTTTTTAAAACAATCGTTATTTCTTTTGCTGGTCAGCTCGGTCGCCAGGTTTCACTCTGCTAGGTGCCTTAGGGTAACTTATGAAATAATAGACAATATCTCTGAATTGAATCTTCAGTAAATGTGAGTTACGAAAAAATCGCAGAATTTTGACACTACATTTTAGATAAGTAGAAAATCCAACGAAATCCAGCCCTGAGAATCTCTTAAACTGCTAGTGTAATAGTAATACCAACCTATATCAAATTTAGCTTAGAGACGTTTGGTGTGATAAAGCAACCCTCATAGATACTTTAGTGTTACAAAATTGTTATTATTTTTTCCGTAGGACATCTCAGTCGCCCAGTCCCATGCAATCAATCCGCTGTTGTGTTAGGCAATATAGACTGAAAATGAGTGCCACCGAAGGCGAAGAAAATCAAACCCCTGGCAACCCTCCTCCCAGAACTAGGCGCTGCGTCAATGACTTTATATTCGGGAAACAGATAGGCGAAGGTAGCTTCAGCATCGTGTACTTAGCCAAAGATATCCACACGTCTAAGGAATGGGCAGGTAAATAGGTTTTTTTTTCGTTTGTTTTTAGACTGTTTTTTTGTTTATTTTGTTAATCGAGTGTTGTATTGTTGCAGTTAAAGTTTGCGAAAAACGGCAGATTATTCGCGAAAAAAAACAGGAATACGTTAAACGCGAGCGGGAAGCACTTAATAGGCTGAGTGGTGTGCCAGGGTTTCTTAAGCTATTTTGCACGTTCCAAGATCCCATGAAGTTGTACTTTGTGATGACTTATGCCAGAAAGGGCACATTGCTGCAACTGATGGAAAGAGTTAAGAAGTTAGACATGGAAAGTGTTAGGTTTTACTCGGCGCAACTCTTATTGGCAATGGAAGAAATGCATGCTCGAAACATTATACACAGAGACTTGAAGCCGGAAAATGTACTGCTTGACGAGGAGTTCCACATCATGATAGCGGACTTTGGTTCGTCGCGTATAGATGTCAAGAAACAGGATATCCCTAGCCTTGAAGAGCCGGATGAAGATGATTCCGATTCCGATGACCAGCCCGGACGGACTCGGCAGAAACGTGGCAGCTTCGTGGGCACAGCACAGTACGTTTCGCCGGAGATTCTCAGAGGGAAAGCTTCAACCGAATCGTCTGATCTGTGGTCATTTGGATGCATCCTGTATCAGCTGGTCGCCGGGTATACACCCTTCCAAGGGCCGAACGATTATCTGATTTTCCAGAAAATAAACAATCTAGAGCTAGAATTTCCGAGCGACTTCGACAAAGACGCTGAAGATTTGATCCGTAAGATTCTCGTGCTGGAACCTCGGGGAAGATTGGGTGCCAAGGATGAGTCGCCTTACGATAGCATACGGGAGCACACACTTCTGGCCGGGATAGATTTTTCCACAATGAGGGCAACGAGTGCACCAGTTTGTAAACATGATTCAACTGGCGACGTGGAACAGTTTCCGGAAAGCGCTGAACCTGGTTTAAACGACGCAGAAATTACAAGAATGCTTCGCCAGGATTGGCTCAAAATGGGATCTCCTTCTACCAGTTCTTCATCGGCGGATCCCCGTAAGTAAAATGTCGGTCTGCAAAAGTGTATTTCTGCACACATGTGCTGTAGTATTGTAAGCATTTGGTTGCGATGAAAGGGTTGGATTTCGCTGCTAGGTGGATTAGTTTCAATAACGATCTTAAGGAATCTCTCATACCTGGACAAAAGTGACGAACTACTTTCAAAATGTAGCCATTTATCATTTCAAAATCATCAGTATGCAGTACCATGTGGGCGTTTACCGACCCAATTCCATTTTCACCACATCGTCAAAAACACGTGCCACATCTGACTAATGCTCTACACTGTTTACTTGTTTCTACTTTCAGACTAATGAGTTGAAACCATATCTTCCGTTGTGGTGGCCTTCGGCATATCAGAGTGCACCGGCGAACAACAAGGGTCTAATGAAGTGTGAATTGTTTATTCGTTTTTTTATTTAGTTATTTATTTAGCTTTCTCTGTGTGAAGATTATGATGATCGAAAATGAGTGGAAAATTGCTTAACCTGTTGAATGTCAACAATAGTTTTCCTGTAGTATACGATACTTAAGCGTTAGTTCATATAGTGTAGCAACAATTTGGCAGTTAGTGTATGTAGTGCAAAGTGTCCTTGGAAATTGGAAGCTTATTTTAGTCAATAAAAAAAAGATGAAATTCCATTCTGGCGTGGATCGTGAAGCCTCCAGCAACGTACGTCAAATGGATTAAACTCCCAATCAATTTCAATTCTACTTTCGGTAAGTGGCTTATCACATTTTCGGCAAATTGCTCAGCAACGGCTTATCTCAGGTTCGCTCGCGTGTCCGATTGACGATGCTCAATAAGTAGACAAAAAAATCGGCAATCGCCTATCGCTGCTGGCTGACGGTTTTGATTGACCTTTTCGTCATAAAAATCAGAACAGCCAGCTTGGATCGGATTGGTGGCGGTTTCGTTCAAATATTTATTCAAACAGACAATTGAATTAACCTCTACTCGAGGGAAAGCTGCGTGTATGTGTTGGGCGATTGAATTTATTTATTTTCGGCAAGCTAACTTGCACTGTTCAGCGGAAGATTTATTATCAATACTGGAATTGGAGAAGCGTATTCGACCTTCGAATAGATCTGTGCGCCGTCGCCTGTTGGTTTGGATTGTTAAGAATTAATTATTCACATATTGTTTTTGGAAACACAAGTTCAAACATTTTACTGAAGGTTGCTGTTTTACGATTTTGGTCAATTTAAAAGTGTACTTTGAATTTTGTTGCATTTTTTTTTTGACACAAATTTGTGATTTTTTTTCAGTGTGTATTTATTCAGTTTCCTACAACTTTGTCACACACAGCGTTGTCAGTGGTGTTGTGGTAAGCGCGATTACCTCTTACTCCAAAGGGCCTGGCTTCAATCCCTGCTGGCGCCACCGGGATTTTCTGAGGCATAATATCTCTGATGACAGGGCTGATAGCGAGTCACTTTTTAGTGACTTGGTCACTTTTTTCAAGCTAGTCACTATAAAGTCTCCTTAAAGGTCAAACCACTAATTTTACTTTTTTTTTGTAATCAGTAACTGATGACATAAATCGAAGCAACCCATGACTGTCTGTTTCTACGAAGGATTCCGATTTAACCGTACAACATAACACACGCGTTTTACTTTTACTCTACTGCCCATTAGGCTATGGGCCCAGATAGTTTTGTGAAGCCAGAAAAATGCAGAATCCTCAAGCGAACCCTGGAGGAAATGGATCCGGAGACCCGGCTAGAACTCAAGTGCGTGCAGCCACACAGAATTATTCCACACAGAACCATCCGGCGATTGAGCGGTTGGTTGGTCGTGAAAACTTGATAACTTGGAAGTTTGCAGTGAAGACTTTCTGGAAGTGGAAGACCTTTGGGACGTGGTGCGCCTACCCCGAATGACGACGGAACTTTCCCTGAGGTGGATGCGCGAAAGGACAGGATTGCACGAGGTAAAATTATTTTGCTGATCGATCCGGTGAATTATATTCACGTCGAAGAGGTGAAAACGGCAGCGGAAGTGTGGAAAAAGCTGACCAATACCTTCGAAGACACGGGACTGACACGACACTGGGCCCTTCTACACAAGCTTATCACGACGAATTTGAACAATTGCGGTACAATGGAAGCGTACGTAAATCGGATGGTTTCAACAGCGCATCAGCTAATTGAAATCGGATTCCCGTTGGATGAAAAATGGATCGGAATGCTGCTGCTGGCTGGCTTGCCCCAGGAGTATCGTCCGATAGTGATGGGCATTGAAAATTCGGGAATCGAAATCACGGGTGACATCATCAAAACCAAGTTGCTCCTGGAGACGGATTTTTCAGCGCCTACAACGGGACCGGCGTTTATTTCTGCAAGAAAAAACTCAAATGGTTACCAAAGCAACGCAAACACAAATTCGAAAGGCAAAGGACCGAAATGCCGGCGGTGTGAGAAGTTTGGTCACATTGCGAAGAATTGTCAAACCAGGACCAGGGATCAAGAATCATCGAAACGAAGCGGATCGGATCGGAAAGGAGACGCCTTTTGCACCGTGTTGTCAGTGCAAGACGCGGCAACGGACAACAGTTGGTATTTCGATTCGGGTTCTGCCAAGCATCTCACCAACAACAAACAACTGTTGGAGAACCTACGTGAAGCGAATGGTAGTATCTACGCGGCAAACAAGGGCGTGATGAAAATTGTTGCGGAAGGATCTACCAAGCTACAGCCCACCTGCAACCTCGATGCGATAGAAGTGCGAAATGTCGAGCTGATTCCGGAGTTGGCAGTAAACCTACTGTCAGTAGGTAAGATAGTTGACCAAGGCCACACTGTTGTTTTCAGAAAGACTGGTTGCGAGGTGGTGAATCCCAGCGGAAAGGTTATTGCTACCGGATGCCGTTCCAATAAGTTATACAAGCTGGAGCAGAAGAGCTCCCAGGCGTATGCGTACTCACCCCGAATAACGGCGAAGATGTGGCATCAGCGGATGGGACATCTGAGCTCCGGAAGTTTGGCGAAACTCAAAAATGGGCTAGCGACTGGGGTCAACTACGATGGCACGGACTGCAGAGGCTGCAAAATTTATGCCGTCGGGAAGCAAACGAGATTGCCATTCAACCACGTTGGTTCACGGGCCAATGAAGAACTGGAGCTGGTCCACTCGGACATTTGCGGTCCGATGGAAGAAATATCGTTGGGAGGAGCCCGTTATTACTTGTCGTTAACCGACGATAAGACTCGAAAAATTTTCGTCTACTTTTTACGCACTAAATCGCAGGAGGAAGTGCTACAAAAGTTCAAGGAATTCCATAGCATGGTCGAGAGACAGAGTGGCAAGAAGTTGAAGGTGCTTAGGGCGGATAACGGCTGGGAGTTCAAGAACAGAAGCTTCGAAAACTTCCTGAAGCAGTTAGGAATCCATCACCAAACTTCAGCGGAGTACACCCCCGAGCAGAACGGCCTTGCCGAGCTTGTCAACCGGACGGTAGTGGAGCGAGTGAGGTGCATGCTGTACGAAGCGAAGCTGCCAAAATCGTTTTGGGCAGAAGCCGTAGCAGCAGCAGTCTACCTCATCAATAGATCGCCAACCAAGGGTATTGATACGACACCAGAGGAAGCGTGGACGAAACGAAAGCCGAATCTTTCCCACATTAGAATCTTTGGTACGACTGTGATGGCGCACGTGCCGAAGCAAAAGCGGCAAAAGAGGGACCAAAAGGCTGAACAGTGCGTGTTGACTGGATACGACGGCGAAACGAAAGCGTAGCGCCTGTACAATCTGAAGACAGCCACAATCTTCAGAAGTCGTGACGTAACTTTCATTGACGAGGGATCCAGTGAGCATGAAGTGGTAGTAGTAGTGAAGTCCAATGGTCCAGAGCGCAGCTTTGTCCGGCTGGATTTTACGATTTCGGAGGTAGACGTCGAAACCAACCCAGATGTACCGGAAAACGATGAACACTACGTGACGGACAACGAAGAAACGACTTCAAGTGATGAATCCTTTGTGGATGCTGCTGACACCGTGACAAATCCTGCGCTCCCACCGCGCACAGTTTCACCAAAGCATTGCCGTCTTTGAAATTTTCAGATGATCGGAGGCGTTATACAATTCAGCCTGCATCCGTTACCGAGGAAACCGCTGCGCTCCCGTCGTTTTCAAATCAAAGACCTACTAGCGATGAAATGCAAGGAGGGTTGATGCTCTGCGATAGGGGGCGCTTGCCCCAAGGCAAGTATTTGAATGATATTGTTGAATTTTCAGATACTGGTGCCGATTTTCAACAGTCAGTCCTGGATGATCCAATGACCCATCAGGAAGCACTATCCTGTGACGATGCGGAACGATAAAAACAGGCCACGAAGGAGGAATATGAGGCCCTCATCTCCAACGGTACTTGGACACTCGCTGATTTGCCAGAAGGACGCAAGGTAATCAGGTGCAAGTGGGTGTACCGGACGAAACTAAATGGTAGCGGTAACATCGACCGATACAAGGCGAGACTGGCCGTGAAAAGATACTCGCAACGAAAGGGAGTGTATTACGAGGATACCTACGCCCCGGTTGTCCGTCATAGTTCCTTGTGGTATCTGTTTGCCTTGGCGGCACGATGGAATTTGCAGATAGACCAAATGGATGCTATCACAGCTTTCCTCCAAGGTGAGCTTTCGGAGGAAATATACATGGAGCAACCCCCTTACTTCATGGATGGCCAGAATCAAGCCAAGGTATGCCGTCTCAATAAGGCCCTATACGGCCTGAAACAATCTAGCCGGGTCTGGAATATGAAGCTCGATGCCGCACTTCGAAAATTTGGACTCGAGTGCACCGTGTATAACCCTTGCGTATACTACAAGATCGTCGGAGATAAAGTGCTCTTCGTGGCGGTGTACGTGGACTACGTTCTCATCTTCACAAACTGCAAGCGCTGGAAGAAAGAGATGAAAACAAAATTGTGCCAGGAGTTCAAGATGAAGGACATGGGTCCGGCCAAACACGCTTTGGGAATCCGAATCACAAAGACCAACGCGATGGTTGCCCTGGACCAAGAGTCGTACGTGGAGGCGGTATTGAGCAGATTCAACATGACGAACTGCAAATCGGTGAGCGCGCCGATGAACGTGAGCGAGAAGTTGACGAAGAACATGTGTCCGTCAACTGCGGAGGAGACTAAAGCGATGAAGAATGTACCGTACCAAGAAGCTGTCGGATGCCTCATGTACTTGGCCCAAAGTACACGCCCCGACATATGTTACGCAGTGAACGTTTTGAGCCGTTTCAATTCCAACCCAGGTGAAAGGCAATGGAACGCGGTGAAACACTTATTGCGTTATTTGAGGGGCACATCGCAATGTCGTTTGGCGTACCGCAAAAATGATAATCAACCACTGGGTACGTAGTCACCGCTCAAGGAGGAGCTATATCATGGAGTTGCAAGCGGCAACAAACCGTTACTCTTTCAACTTGCGAAGCCGAGTACATGGCGCTGTCGGCTGCAGTACAGGAGGCGCTCTGGTGGAAAAGATTGCAAGGCTTGTTCGAGGACGAAAAGCAGATCTTGATCCACTACGACAACCTAAGTGCCATAGCTGTAGCCAAGAACGGAGGATACCACCCGAGGACAAAACATATTGACATACGTCACCATTTCATTCACGATGCATTGGAAAGAGGAGACATCAACGTGGCGTATGTTAGTACAAAGGAGCAGACTGGCCTTACGAAGCCGTTACCAGCTGCTAAATTG